AGTGACGTGGGAGCCTAATCGCGAGTGCGATGACTGTTTGTTGGATGACAGGAAATATTTAGTGTTGCCCTTTTTCACTACTAGACCCATCGCTTCCTTATCAATCAAATCAGAACTAACATCGAGCTTGTTGAGAACAATGAAACCCAAAATAGTTGTGCTGCCTTAATTTTWATACTATAGCAACCAGTTGTACATATCACCTAAAATTAATCGAGAGAGAGATCAGTTTATATATATAAATGATCAAAGTGACGAGAAAAGTTGAAATCCGGTTGACTGTCCTATCCGTCCAGATTTGGGCTTTAACTTGAGTAAAAATTGAGATATTTCGATGTAATTTGGCATGCAAGTTTCTTAGTTGAAACAATTTTCTTGTTCGTAGATGGGCGTAATCGGACCACTGCAACGCCCCACCCTTACCGAAAGAGTGAAAAACGGATGAAATCGGATGATAACCCCGCACACTCCCCTTATAACGGTACTGTTAAAAACTACTAAAAGCGCGATAAATTAATAACCGAATATGCTAGAGACATTAAATTTTTCCAACCAGATGGTATGAGAGAGCTTTATGGGAGCTAGTGTGGAAATTGGACGATAGGCGTGGTACCGCCCCTTTTTCGTGAAATCCCATATATCGGGATCCGACCTACCGATTTCGAAAAGATGTAGAAGTGGCATTTTTTTACATTCTTATGTCACATTATGAAAAAGGACGAAATCGGGCAACCACCACGCTTACTCCCCATACAGCACAATTTTAAATTCCACTTAATTCATTCAGTTACTAGTACACAAATGAAAAAGTAATTAATACAACGTTACAGAACTTTGCACGAATAGTGTCTTTAGTGTGTACCACCATATGAATTTGAAATTGTTTACATCCAATAAGAACTGACCAAGCCTCTCGGTACCGAATATTTAGATCCTGGTAATGGTGGTTGACTTTTGATTAAAAATGTCGGTTAATGAGTGCCCAAAAAATAAGGTGACATTTGAATTTAAATTGCGCGCGTCTAAGGATTTGGATAATTATTTTTTTTATATTTTTAGTACAGTCGGTCACATTTATGTCAAAATATTCAGTAGTGTTTGAGATAAGTGTCGTTTTGTGAGCTGATAAAAGTGAGTTTTTCGTTTTTTGCGATGTCGAAATTTGTTGGGAAAAGAATTTGCATTAAATTTTGTTTACGGAATCAATTTTCTACTACGGATACTTTGAGGATGGTGCAGAAAGCATACATATGCGTACACATGCGAATATGTCACCAACAAAAAATTTAAGCGTTCTACAAAAAACAACAATTGTCTAAATAGCCGAAGCATCACAAGGCAATTGGCGAAGCCCAAATGTAGTAAATTTTACAGCAAAAACGATTTCATTCATAAACGCAGGCGCATATTCCACAAGCGACCTCGCTTCATTCGTAAAAATAGACGCCGTAATATCTTCCTGCCTTTGCCAACAAGCGTCTTTTCGCGACGATGGCAAAAGCTAAAAATCATAAATTGAACATCTTTCTGGTATTTGTTCTAAGTAAGAAAAGTGGCAACAGCTGTTGTCGATTTACAATATTTGTCAATTCTAAAATATTTTTCCGTGGCTCGCAAAAATCAGCGTCGATATGTATGCAAACTCATACATATGTATACATATTTACGCTAGTTTGTWGGYGARGCTGTTACTGCGGCAAGGGAAGCGGTAACAATCGGCGATCGTTTGTTAGTTTCTTTCGGCACAGCTCGGAAATTCTACCAACAACACAACGTTGGGATGACTCTTTGACAATTCGAGAGCTTCGGAAATCGGTTGACCGTGACAACGGAGATGCGGAAGATGCGTGCGGCACTTGTTATTATGAATGTATGTACATATGTATGTGGCTCGCATTTGCGTTAGTAAACATACAAACAAATGTGCCAAAGAAGTAATATATTATATGTACATATATGCCATAGAAACTATATTGCTACAAACATGAAAATGATAACGAAATAAGACGAATATGCATATTTCATGAAGGTCATCAATTTTCTTTGAAGAAATTAAGTTCATTTGGCACATTTCCACTTTGTAATAGGCGATATAATTTATTTGAAATATTAATTTATTTAAAAATAAATAAATAAAAATAAAATAAAATAAAAATTAAAAAATAAAGTTAGAGAGAAATAAAATTAAAATARTCTTCCCTAATTTTTGCAGATTTTGTAAAAAAAATTAAAATTTTTACTATTTTTCGGAAAAAAATGGTTAATTTGATACGAAATAATCACGCATATGTCACAATGGTTGATATAATTCAATATAAGCATGCATATGTCACTCAGATAATGCTTTTTTACATTCTTTGTGTGACTTTGTATATATTGTATATTTTTCTACATAGCTATTCTCTTTATTTATTCTCAGCCATTTTACGTATATTTCTGCCAGAGAACGTGCTCAATTCTGATAAATTGCAGCGAGAACGGCGAATTCCTTACCCAGATTTTATCGGCTCTGTTAGCCGCCAAGTCGAACATCATACAGAATTCAATTTGCACCTTCTCTATACTTTACGTTCTCTGACTGAAGGCCATCCCGGAAAGTGACTCCAACCAGTATTTCGAAGATTGGAAAATCCGTTGGTATAAGTGCATTGCATCGCGAGGGGATGAACTTGATTTGGATGAATAAATAAAGAGTTTTGAAAATAAATACAGTGACACCTTATTTTTTGGGCACAGAGTATATAACTGATTCAGGAATAATCCTCTAAACATATCTGTTACGAACGATCTGGAAGCATGACTCACGTAATCCTCGTAAGTCCTACTTGCTTACTTGTGAACTGACATGGCGCGTTGTTGTCATTGGTCTACTAAGCAAAGCGGGAGCAATTATTCTAAGTCCTACTTGCTTACGCATGAACTGACGTGGAGCATTGCAAAATATTGGTCCAATTGGGAAACCGGAAGCAATTAGTCTATTTAGCAAAGTAGACAAGAGGAAAAACGATCATACCGTCGATAACGTTCAGAGGGTGCATTTGAGACAAAATTTTTTAATTAACGCTTTATTTAACATTATATTTAACCTTTATTTAACATTGAATAGCTCTTAAATTCGGTATTAAATGTTATTTCAGTTAATTGCAAAAAATTTCTCGCATATTTATTAACATCTTAAAAAATTTATTCCACCCTCATCGCGCATACATTTAACGTATGTTATAATGTCGTGCGCGAATAATTTAAAATCGTCTGCTGCACCTGCCAATTTCGTTCTGGGCCCTAATTGTGCTGCAGCCGCCAATCTCACTACCTCAACAAGCTTTCCAATTGTGAGCAACCTGGAGGATAATGGTGGTACTGATCGGGCTGCTAATCGGCGCATTCCTGTGACACACACTGCGAGCTCGAACGCAGGTATATCAAACGCAGCTCCTCCAAATGTGAGTCGCATGCATACGCTATCACCCCAACAAGGGGATCTACAAGAAAGTCAACTTATACATAAGTTCACTCCTCAAATTCCTCTGGTTCACTCGGCCTTCGTCGTCGCGCCGTATTGCTACAAGAGCAAAACGAAATCTTAAGACAGAGGGAGGCTTTATTAAGAGAACAGCACAGCTTTTTGGACCGCATAGATGCAATGGGTTTTGATGACGACTTTAACGAAAGGCAATATTCAATGCCTAGAATCTCAACCAGGTTGAGGGATGAGGCTCTTCTTCCATCCCAAATGCTGCAGCTGCCACCACAATTTGTGGGGCCATTTAATGCAACCGCTCCAGTTCTAAACGATAATATAAATAATAATCTACTGCTATAGATCTTGTAAAAAGTTTTTTTTTTTATTGTACAGATATAAAGCTGCAGATAGTCTACAAAAGTGGTACTGCGTTTTTATTGACCGCAAGTGTATTTATAATGGTTAATGACTAAATGTTAGATTATAGCCGGACTTAACTTTCCTTACTCGTTAATATTTAATATATGTATGTACGTACATGTTAATTATCATATATTTTAATTTGAAATATTTCAGGAGTATGCCCAGCTGAGTGGAGTCAACCTCGAAAACGGTTATGTGTTATTCTTATTACAGAAAACAACGATTCTCATAATTTCGCGCGCACTGCCTTCCGCAATATTGCTCTTCATGCTGAATATAGCATAGAAAGAGTCCGATTTGCATATATATTCAAGGTAAGGGTAGAAATATAAGTTGGATTACATATTTTACAATATTTATTTTATAATCGTAAATGTTTTTAAAAACAATTTTGGTTGTTTATACAAAGAAAGCTTAAAGAGGTGTAGATATAAGCGTTAAGAATTATTGTCAAATGCCAGCTTTTGCGATATCTGAGTCGGATTTTGTCGGAATCGGTCAGAAGAGGACATATAGGGCGATGCTAAATCCATTTTAAGAATAATAAATTTAAATTACAAACTAGTAAATACAACAAATAAGTCGTACGTTTCCATCTAAGGGGTTATATATAGTTAGAATTACTATAATATGTTTTTTTTTTAAACTGTATTTCAACACTTAGTATTAGTAAAAAAGGAGAATCGACACTCACCACCTCTTCGTCGATTTCAAAGCTGCTTTCGACAGCACGAAAAGGAGCTGCCTTTACGCCGCGATGTCTGAATTTG